CCTAAAGTGCTCACCCTCTTCCAGCTCATGGTTGTCACCCCACCACGAATCTCTCCTTGGTTCTCCAGGTGCCTCCTGCTTTGAGTGCCTTTTGGTACAGATGTCATAGACCCCCAAAGGGCGCAATATCCATTCTTCATAGGTGCCCCCAGCTGTGTATTCTTCCAGGTGGCTACCAGGTCCCATGTGCTTTCAAATCCTTGAGATCAGCCTAACACAGCCTACAGAAGTTTCTAGGGAGGCACACACTGAACATAGGGAGGGATGAGAACATTGTTTGCCCCTTAGGAATGCCTGGGGACTTGTAAATACCCTGCCCCAGGCCCCAATCCAAACGCCCTCTTCATTTCCAAGCCTCTTTCCTGTATACTACACTACTAAGGGTCAGTGGCACCACTTCTCTCTCAACAGGGCAGCCTGCTCTGCCTGTCCCTCAACCACAGCCAGCTGGCATGTGCCTCCTCTAGAGCCACTGCCTGTCTGGGTCATGCTGTTTTGCCTCCGATACCATATTTTACATTCACAGTGGTGAAATCTCATGGGAGTCCAGAAAAGGACACCTCTTTCAGGAGCTTGTCTTGCTCAGCGCCTGGGTAAAATATCTCTCTGTCTGCTGTGTACCTGTGGTCTTTTGCTTGTACCACCTGCAGGTGGCCAGGAACCCAGCATGGCCACAACCTCCAGGACCTAGCTAGGCCCTGCTGGTTCAGTCACTGTGTGTTCTGGGTGGCTTCCAACTGACAGCATCCTCGTGTGTACATTGTCCATGCATGGACCTTGTGTTTCCAGGGCCCAAATGGGACATGGGGTGGTGGCAACTTATACTTCATTAGAGAATGCCAAGCTGTTTTCCAAAGAGGCTGATCCAGTTCATACTCCCACCAGCAGTGAGGGAGAGCTGCCCAGGCACTGGTCCCTGCCAATATCCGCCACTGTCTAGCTTTTTAGTTCTTGCCAACCTGGCAGTCTTGGAAAGGTATTCACAGCAGGTGTATTTTGCATTCTCCTGATTATGATGAGCAAACATCATTTCATATATTCAGTACCATTTGTATTTTCTCTGAAGTCATGATGGGGCAGGGACATTTCAGAAGCTTCTGGGAGGTGGGGTTCAAAGGGTTCTATCTAATTCTCTCTTTCTTTTTAAGAATTTTTTACTCAATTTTATTCATTATTACCACTTTTTAAATTCACTAGAGAGAGACAGACAGAGAGAGAGGGAAAGTGAGAAAGCCAGCCACCAGGTCTGGGAGTCCATGGTCAGTCATGTGGGAGTTCAGCGCCTTAACCACCACACCACCTGCTGACCCCAGGGTTTTATTTCTTGACCTCGTTGTTATAAATGACTTTACAAAGAGTGAATTCTTATGTCTTATGTAATCTGTATGTGTCCTAGGGCTGGTGCCTACCGTGCTTCCCTGGAAACTGCCTTGTGGCCTCAGCCATCCTGTTTCTCTCTGGGGACTGCTTCAGCACTACCCACCAGGATGGTACCACAGCCTTGCTTTTCCCTCACCTTAACAAGACAGTTTTGGGATTCAGCCTGACTATAGAATGTTATAACAGCTACAGTCATGTGACCCTGACGTAGATTTAAAAACCTTCAACATGAACTGAGCTGAGTACGTGAAGGAAGCAGTCTGAACCCAGGTGTGTTCTCAGACACAGGACATCTGTCAGGCTTAAAGTCGGGTCCTGGGGACTGGCCTCCTGCTTTAGGGGAACATATGCAAAGGCAGCACCTCCCCCCCAGGCGATGGGTTCACCCACCTATTAACAAGGTGGCATCTAGTTCATCTGGAGGTCTCAGTCAAGGTCACAAACAGAGACCTCCCCACCCCAGTGTACTCTGCACAGTGGGAGCAGCTCCAGCTGAGAGGGACACTGGGGAACATTCCTTCCAACAGAAGGCGTCAGGGCATGGCAGAAGGACAGCCCGCACTCTGGATTTGAGGGTTTGGATTCAAATTGTGGCACTGCGTGTTCTGTTTACCTGGTACCAGCCGGGCACAGAGGAGGCCCTCAAAGCTTGGGCGGCTGATACAAAAAGGCTCTGTGTGAAAAGCCATGTCCTCAGGTCTGCTTCAGATAGTGATTAGGAGGAAAATCTTCCAACAGATACATTGAAATGTGTCCTCTGGGCGAGTTTCTGAAGGCCGTGGGCTGAGTGCATCCTTTCTTTCCATCAAAGCTATGGAAATATCTAAAGGTTTATTTATTCCCTTGCCTCTCTCCTCTCTGCAGCCTTCAACTGCACCAAATCCAGGCCACTGAGGGGGCGGGGGCAGACCCACCTCTCCCCCAGCAAAAGCCTCAGCTGCTACAAGGTGGCTGGGCAGCTGGCTTCCTGGAAGGACAGTACCTTGACAGCACGGATTCCCATCCTTTCTGAGTCCCAGTCCTCAAGGAAGTGGGTTGGGTCAAGCAGCTGCTGGGCCTTTTCTACTCTAGGAGAGGTGGCCCAGTTTGACTTACTGGTGAGCCAGGTCTGCCCTAGATGATTACTGGGGCGGGGGGGGTGCTGCAAAATGCAAGCATTCTTCAAAAGGGAACGCAGAAACCCCATGGCTGGGTCTTTACCTGTTGGAGGCTTAGAAGGCTCTCTGCAAAGATCTTGTATCCTTGAAAGATGAGAGGGTCTTCCTGAGAGCCCCTGCATCCTCTGGGGCAGTGGCTCATGCTGAGGGGCCTGGCTTACTCATGGGTCATGAAGTTTATTTATTCGACCCTACCCTACGGCCTGCTGAATGCAATGGGTGCAGGCCTGGGTCAAGTGGGGATCTCCTTTTCTGCCCGAGTCAGGGCAGATTGGTTCTGTGGGCACATGGGCCAGTCCATGACCAGAAGCCCAATGGGATGAAAACACAGGCAGAACCTTTCTGTGCCTTGGGGAGGGGAGGGGTAGGAGGGGGACGGTGAGGGCAGCCTCAGAACTTGGACTCGGGGTAAAGGCCCAGAGTCTAGAAGAACAGGAAGCAGAACTCAGTTCTGGAATGTGGAGGGGGGTCTCATCCTGTGCTGCCCCCACCAGCTCCCGAATGGGCACCTGATTGGGCTCTGCTGCCCTGTGCCTCCAGACGGTCTCCTGATGCCACTGGCAGGGATAGAATGTTATAACAGCTACAGTCATGTGACCCTGACGTAGATTTAAAAACCTTCAACATGAACTGAGCTGAGTACGTGAAGGAAGCAGTCTGAACCCAGGTGTGTTCTCAGACACAGGACATCTGTCAGGCTTAAAGTCGGGTCCTGGGGACTGGCCTCCTGCTTTAGGGGAACATATGCAAAGGCAGCACCTCCCCCCCAGGCGATGGGTTCACCCACCTATTAACAAGGTGGCATCTAGTTCATCTGGAGGTCTCAGTCAAGGTCACAAACAGAGACCTCCCCACCCCAGTGTACTCTGCACAGTGGGAGCAGCTCCAGCTGAGAGGGACACTGGGGAACATTCCTTCCAACAGAAGGCGTCAGGGCATGGCAGAAGGACAGCCCGCACTCTGGATTTGAGGGTTTGGATTCAAATTGTGGCACTGCGTGTTCTGTTTACCTGGTACCAGCCGGGCACAGAGGAGGCCCTCAAAGCTTGGGCGGCTGATACAAAAAGGCTCTGTGTGAAAAGCCATGTCCTCAGGTCTGCTTCAGATAGTGATTAGGAGGAAAATCTTCCAACAGATACATTGAAATGTGTCCTCTGGGCGAGTTTCTGAAGGCCGTGGGCTGAGTGCATCCTTTCTTTCCATCAAAGCTATGGAAATATCTAAAGGTTTATTTATTCCCTTGCCTCTCTCCTCTCTGCAGCCTTCAACTGCACCAAATCCAGGCCACTGAGGGGGCGGGGGCAGACCCACCTCTCCCCCAGCAAAAGCCTCAGCTGCTACAAGGTGGCTGGGCAGCTGGCTTCCTGGAAGGACAGTACCTTGACAGCACGGATTCCCATCCTTTCTGAGTCCCAGTCCTCAAGGAAGTGGGTTGGGTCAAGCAGCTGCTGGGCCTTTTCTACTCTAGGAGAGGTGGCCCAGTTTGACTTACTGGTGAGCCAGGTCTGCCCTAGATGATT